AGGGAAATAGTACTTCTCATTACATGGGACAGCCATTTTATCCCTGCCTACTTGAAATAAAAATTAACTTTATTTCCTTAGATTTTATAAGGACTTGAAAAGAAAAGAAAGAACAAAGAGGACTTGAGAGAAGTATAACCACAACTCTAAAGATTTTTAGGCGATTTGCAATAATTTACAGAAGAATCCACCATGTTGAAATGGCTTTTTATTCCTTTTAACTTCCTATTTCTTCTTCTTAAAATGGTTTTCCCATAGATGAAGTTTCTCCCCCACCATCTCCCTCTTCTTTTTCTCCCTCTTCTTTTTCTCCCTCTCTCTTCTTCCTATTCCTCTTCTCCTTCTCCTTCTTCTTCTGCTTCCTCCTCCTCCTCCTCTTCTTCCTCCTTCTTTCTTCTTCTTCATATATCTCTGTCCCCATTTTAAAACAGATACTTGACACCACCCCCAAGAAGGCTTTACACACATTCAAATCATTCCTTACAGCCTAGAAGGTCAGGAGCTGGAAAACAGGCCTGTAGCTGAATTGTGGCTTAGCCAACTGCAGCCCACAGGCCAAATCTATCCTACTGCTTGCTTTTGTGCACAGCCCTTGCACTTAAGAATAGATCCTCTGCGGTGGGGATTTAGCACAGTGGTTCCACTGCCTGCCTAGCAAGTGCAAGGACCAGAGTTCAATCTCCGGTACAAAAAAAAAAAAGATCTTCCATCTGTAATTTGTTGGGGAAAAATCAAAGAAATAGTAATATTGCCTGACATGAAAATTATAAGCAATTAAAATGCCAAAATCCATAAAGATTTATTGGAGTGCAAATAGCACATTTCTCTACGTATTATCTATGGCTGTTTTCATGCTACAGTGGCAGACTTTTGAGTAGCTATGGAAAGACTATATAGTCACAAAGCCTAAAATGTTGACCATCAGGCCAACATTTCAACCTTGTGGAGAAAGTTGCCAATTTCTGGTCTAAAACTTTAAAGATGTTAGATATGTTATGTAAAGACATTGTAGAGAAATAAATTTCTGGCAAACCAAGAGGGCAAAGGCTAACAAATAACCACATTAAGACCCAAGTCTCACAATCAAGATTAAATGATTATCCTGACAACTACAGTACTATGCTAAGAAAAAGAGGAGAGGAGAGGAGGTAGAGGGAGAGAAAGAGGGAGATAAAAACAGAGATGAACACATCTACTTTGCTCACCACCACATCCTAAATATCTAACCACTTCTCAGACCTGGAGAGATGTTCATTAAAAAGTTATTGAATGGGGCCAGGGATTTAGCTCAGCGGTTCAGTGGCCTGCCTTGCAAGCACAAGGACCCGTTCAATCCCCAGTACCAAAAAAAAAAAAAAAAGTTATTGATTGAAGAGGAAGAGAGGAGGAAGAAATGTAAAATAAGGATGGTATAGTGGTGGGAGTGAAAGAGGAGGGTGCCCAGCAACAACCTCAAGTTGGTCTGCTCTGTGTAATACATCACAAGTTCCAAAAGTTAGTGAAAATCCCCACTTTGGAAGCCAGGCTTTCAAAGCTGTGTGTGCCCAAGAGACTGAGGAAAGTCTATAACTACAGCAACTTCCCTGATGTTTGTTCTAGCTCACCTTTTCCACACCTTTCCTCAACCAGCAGATGTTCATATACTTAGTCCAGAGGCTCAATTCAGACATAGAAGTTAACAAGAAAGAAATTGAATGTAAAGTGCATGAAATAAAATATTGTCATTGTTGATCTTTGTTAACTGCCTCTTCTTTCCAGAGCCCTCAGGCCCACTCTCTGACCATTGTCATATTCTCTCTCTCTCTCTCTTACTCTCTCTCTCTCTCTCTCCTTCCCTCCCTCCCCCATGCAAGTGACACCCACACATATCCTTTACTGTTGGCAGAGATGCTCACTCAGATAACAACTGGAGTTCATGCTGCACATTTTCATCTTCATGTGTCATCATCACCATGTAAAACCACAACTATAGGAAAACAAAGCTGTTTGCTGCTCTTCTGTTTCAACTGACATTTCCACCCAGCTCACAGAATGTTCTTTGGAGACAAGGGGAGTTTAAATCTGTCACTGAGATCTCTCTGCCCAACAAAGTCTAAGTAAAATCCAATACATCCTACCTGACATCAATGCATCTTTCTACATCTCCTTGTCCTGGTGAATTTCCAGCACTCCAAACCCTTTCACACACTTTAAACAGGCAAATAGAACTGCAAGATGGCCCTTAGGAGGCACATGTTTTGGCCCTTAGCATTGCGCCAAGAATGAAGTCAGCTTGGAAAAGCTGATACATTCTTGCATTGCCCAAATGTTATCCAAGCAATTATCAAGCATTAGGCTAATATTAGCACCCTCAAATGAACAAAAAGCATGTGGAGAAAGTGTGCCCCTTCCCCTCTGAAACCTTGTCCTGGGTTTCTAAGTATGGGGAGCCTGTGACTCTTTAAAGAAAAAGCACACCTCTGTAGGATGCTAAATCAGAGGAAATGGGTCCAGACCTTCAGCTGCATCCCTGAAGAACCAAACCTAGGTGAGTTAGCACCCAAGCTCAGGAAACACAAATATACAGTAGAAATGCCAAGTCACCAAGCAAGCCTCCGGTATGGCTCCCAGACCTTTCGCCACTCCTTTGTGTGGTGGTCAGGCTCCCATTGCAATAGGGCCAGGCATTTCTTTGACTTTTCTACTCATCATCTCTGTTTCCAGAAAAAATGAAAGAGGACAGAGAGTGCTTCTTAAAGGTATCTATCTGCTTTATCAGGCTGGGGGGAAAAGTAAACCTAGTGTCATGGACAATGACACGATTCATATGGTTGTATAGCTAAAACTTAGTGGAAGGTCTGTTAGGTAAAGTTGTTTAACTTTCATTTTATTACATTTTGAACTCATGTATCAAGAAATTAGAACCTTTTACAATATTAGCTTATACAATTTTACTGAGCAGATTTATTTAATGACTGATTTTTTTTCTTTTTCTTTTTTTAACCTGTCCGTTCTCTTTCCAATTGGTTTGATCTGTCCTGTTGAACCATCCATGAGTGACTAGCTGAGTTCGGTCCTTCTTGAGTAATAGGAGACATGTAAGTTCATCTTTCTCAAGCTTCAACCAAGGAACAGGCTGCTGTGCGAATTATCAGACAACCTGTGACAGCTGCTGTTCAAGGGCCTTCCCTATCCACCAGATGATAGCAGTGTGTGAATGTGTGTGAAGGAATTAATATGTTTGATTTTAATTTGCAATTTACTCCAAATGTGACATTTTGTTTGTTGTTATTCTCATACCTTGAAACTGTTGCAAGCTATCAGAGTGCTCAGTTATGAAAGAAACATGATGGGCAAAGATTCTAACATTTTCTATCCTTGGCATTACCATTTTTGAGACCTTTTTTAATCCAAGCCAGGAAAGGCATTTATAGAATTTGTTGGGGTAAGATTATTCCATAGAAAAGGGTAGAAGTTCAGAACTAGAATGAGATTTTAACTGTAAAAACATTTTTTGGAAGTCTTAAGCTAAAGATATATTTAAAATATCATCAATAGTTCTCTGTTAGGAGAGAGATAAGAGTCTTCCATGGAAAACCAACTTACTTCTGACTGTGGCCCATTTAACATGACTTTGTAGGATAATTCCTAAATAGTATTAGTTTTTCACACTGCACAAAAAATGTCTAAAATGTAAAGGAACTTACATCCATCATATTTTCTTTCACCAAATTTTGGTTATATAGGTGTGTGTATATATATATATATATATTTTTTTTTTTTAACCTCACATCTCTCTAATAAGATGAGTTGTTGGCCTTATTAACAGGAAAGTGGAAAAATAGTACCAGCTCTCTATTAAACCATTAAGACTGACGACTAATTTATAAACCCATGTGAACTTCATTTATTCAATCAATAAATATTTCTTGCATACCAGGCACTATCATAGTGCATATAGGCACTAGAGCTGCAGCAATGAACAAAACAGATGGAGGTTTTTCCTTCATGGAGCTCAAGCTTGGGGAAACAAAAATAAACAAATAAATAAGTAAAGTATCTAGTATAAGAAATAGCAAAATGCTATGGAAAAAAACAAGCAAGGAAAGCAGGCAGGGTGTGGAAAAAGTTAATTAGGGTAGAAGGTAACACTTGAGCCAGGACCCTATGGAGGTCAGGGAGCAAGCCAGGTGGATATCTGGGGAGAACATTCCAGACAGAGACACCAGTATATGTAATGGAGCTAACTTGGGAACATGCCTGTGGTGTTTGAAGAGGAATATGTCAGAAAGCATGCGTCAATGTACCTATGAGAGATACAGGTTTTCTGAGCTTCAAATGGCCTTGCAGATGCCACAGACTCACTCAAGCATGTCTTGAGATCATCCGTGCCATTGGCCATCATTGGCCTGAGTTAATGGCAGTTTTGTGGCAGTGATGATCCTGGCTCTGCATCCATCACTGGCCCCATCTCCAACCTCCAGTATGTCACTGAATTTCATACTTTGGGGGGTCAGTCCTCAAGCCTGCTATAGTCCCCATCTAGCAGTACAAAAGGCTGTAATGAGGGATCAGGTATCCATCTGGCCATCAACAGGCCTGTTAAAAAGCAATGCACACTGATAACTCATTTAATTAACCTGAGGGAATGATGGATCCAAGACAGCAGGTCAAACTCTCTTGCAGAGCACCCACTTTATACAGAATGCAAAGGTAAGATCAGCCTGACATGTAAGAGAGGTAAACCATTGGTCTGATGAGAAATTCTGACTGGAGCCAAACAAACAAACTGGAAGTGTAGCTTTCTTGAGGTGAGATTAATATGTGAATGTCTGGCCTTTTTTAAAAAAAAGACAAAATCAGACTTCTAAAAGGATTTATCCCACACCTCTTTTAAATAGCAAGCATTCTCTAGATTCATTGCCAAAGTGACAATATTAAAGTACAAATTTAAAAACAAACACATGATAGTCTAGTCATTTTATCACTCAATACACATAATGTAACATACATTTGGTTCCTTCAAATTCGCATGCTTAGCCTCAGATAGGTGAGTTCACAATTCCAGGAATACCATTTATTATAAGACTCTTACAATAATAGCAGCAAATGACATTGTTTTCTTTATAATTACAGTACCTGGAAATGTAAAAGCATTCAACTACTATTTTTAAATCATTTCTTGGTTCACATTAAAAGTGAAAATGGACTTCCTTATATACATATATACTTTGGTTGTTCAGAGTGAGTAAGAAAAATCTCAGGTGTGATTCATCTTTGGCAAACCTACTTTTCCAGTTAGAAAACAAAACCATTTATTACCAAAGATCAAATCTTTCCACTTAAAAAAATTATTTATTTGTCTCAGCCCTTTCTAAAACTCCCCAGTTCTATCATTTTCAAGCACAATGTGATTACTTGGATTGAAGAACTCTATATGCCTAGAGGCTGGCCACCGGCACAAATGCAAGTCTGTACTCAACAGCCCTTCATCACCCAAGTATTTCTAAGTTTGACCTTCTCTGAATTAATTAAATTTATGGAATGGAAATCCATTCAAAAATCAACCAGAGTACAATATTTCTTGTCTGGAACAAAAAGATTCCTTCCCCTTTCCTATTCCCCCACATTTTAAAAAAATGTTAAAACCTTATTATATACCAAAAAAGAGGAGAACTGACCTGTTTCATCACAAGATAAAGTAGTCTAAGAAATAGGAGAATGATGTAAGTTAAAAGTTTCTCATATTTTATACCTTCTCATAACTTCTACATTAAATTTATGTTACATTTTTCTCCCTTCTTAGGTCACTGTCCAGCTTAATTATACATATGTTTGGCATGGTACTAAATTCAAGGAAAAAGTAATGAAAAGGTAGACAAAGTCATACCCTCATGGTGATTATAGTATAGTAACAGACATTTGTGATCATAATCTCCAGTTTAGAGTTGAAAAACCAGTTTTAGATAAGCAGTGACTTGCCTGAGGCCATTCATCTAGTAATGGGATTTGAACCAGGGTTATCTGCCTCTAAAATCCAGGCTCTTCTAACACCCAGGTAAACCAAAGGACTGAGTAGCCTGTAAAGGTGACAGAAGAGCCTTTCCCAAGGTTCCCAGACATATTGCATTTGACCCACAATTGGAGACAAGGATATATCTATGGTCATTCCAGAGTTGGGTCTTGAAGAATCTCTTGAGAAGTGTAAATTGTCTCCAAAAACACACCCCAAAATACTCTTCCAGGTTGATGGGCCTCAAGAGCATATGAGCAGCTGAGCCCACAGAGTTCTGTAACTCTGAATCCCATAACACTTACAGTCCCTGTGAAGGAATTCTCTCCGGGGATCCTTCTGTCTGAAGACTCCTGGAAAACCACCCAATGCCTGTCACTGCTTAGCACATAGCAAGAATTGCCTCACTCCTTTCCATTCTCCTCTCTTCAGCAAAAGCTTCTGGAACTCATAAATGAATAAAGGATAACACCTCCTTTCCACAGTATCACTGCATCTATCTCCTGGGGATGCTCTGTCAGCATCCCACCTCAGATCTCCACACAGATAATAAAGAGACCAGTCATGCAAAGCTGAAACAGATAGAGTTTGACTGGGATGAGCTTCATAGCACACAACTATTTTTAATACAAAGCAAATTCCTGATACATTCTCCATGATGTGGGAGGACTATTTCATCCTTTTCAAATCATGCTGTGAATATTAATACTGAATTCCCATCAGAAGAAGAAAGCAAGTTGGTTTGCCTAGCACTGCTTTGAGGGAATTCCGTTGGTCAAAAACATAAAATATGGTCAGAATTATTCAAAGACAACATCTACACCTCTCTAAACTGACAGAAAAACAGCATTAAATAGGAAAGAAGTGGCTCATCGCATAAGTGGGAAACAGTGTTTTAATGGTTTTAAAATATTTAAGTATCCTCACCCTCTCCCTCATTCTAATCTATTCCCACCTTAAACACCCATTTTTAAAAAGTGAATGATTTCTGTGGAAAGCATCCTTTGAAATCACACTCTGCTTGACTGAGCTGTACAGGTAAAAGAAAGGAACAAGTCTCAGCCAGCAGCCTAGAAGCAGATCACAAGGCAACAGAATCCATTCTCTTTTTGTTTTCTACTCTAACTTTCTAATCAAGTCAATAAATACAGGATAAATGTGAATTTGGGTCATGGCACTGCAAAATCTAGCCTGCCATAGGAAATTTCTTTAACTTTATGTCAGAGTCTCAAAATGATCCTTGATATTTGGTCTAAGGGCCATTAGTGCCCAACAGGGGCCCACAGTGGCTGGCTACAGAGGAGGCTGTCCTTTCCTATCCAGAGCAGTGATGTTGAGCAGATGGAGGGGTGCCAGCCAGCTGGCTTCTGGATAGGCGTCCGTGTCAAGAGCGGTAGGCAGCAAAATCTCGAGCTGGGGCGTAGGGCTGGTAGTGCCTGCGGGTGGGTCCAAGCCTCCGGGGAGTCATGTTCATGTAGTCACTCTGCAGGAGCCTGGTCCTCTTGCTCTTTATCTGCAGGGAAGAGGAGTGTCCGTGTGAAAGAATATGGAAGAAATGTCATGGGAGGAGTTCTGTCTTTGGGGACAACTAATCAGAACATCAGCTGTGAAATGACACTGCACCCTGGTATTTCTCAAATATCCTAGATTTGGACTATGACTGACTGCTGGCTCTTGTAAATTAACTTGAAAAAATCTTAGTCAAAGGAAGTATTTTAGAAAAACATACCCATAACTTCTCAATGCTGTCATTTGACCTGAATTCCAAAAGCATAACATATTCGCTATTGTTATTTAAATACACAGGAGGTTAAGCATTTCCATTTGTAATCTTATATTGGTTATTTGTTTAACAAGCCATTTTTCCATAGTTGGCCAGAAAAGGACCTTCAACTCCTCCGGAGTCTAGAACAATCATAAATTCATAACACTGAAGTCCAAATCAATGGGAATTACTGTTCTGAACAACTAGTTGTGTTACTATCCCTTATGTCAATATAATCTTGTAAAGACAATAATGTCACCTATTTCCTTCCCACACTCTGCTCCCCAGGATGAATTTCTACCATGGATAGAACCAGAGCAAGAGTTACACTTACCATTAATCTTGGCAAAGTTTTTGGTACTAGGAGCATCATTCCTGGATGAATGTGTTTGACAACAGACACATAAAAATTCTAAAAATAGTCATATGGGTTTCTGGATTCAGAATTCTCTATTATGGAAAAAAGTGCCTATTTCCTGGTGTATAGGCTTGACGCAAATGAGTATGTAGATACACTGAACATGCACAACAAGAATCCCTGAAGAATTCAATGAATGAACAACTTGAGGCCTGACCTCATTTCCATTCACTTCTGCATAACCCCTTCACAACTGCCTTGTCAAAGGAGCAGGATTAAGTGCCCGGAAAAGGGATTTTAAAACACTGATCTCCAAGTTACTAAATGCAAGTATCATATTTTTAGTCTTTATCTTCTGGAAATCTTACTAACAAGCTACAGTTTCATATCCACAGGCTCTTCATCTATGGATTCAACCAACCACAGATAGAAAATTTTCCAAAAAATCATTTTTGCAATTATTGATCCTTAAGCAATATGACTATTTACATAGTGTTTACATTATATAAGAGTATTATAAGTAATCTGGAGATGATTCAAAGTATGTGCAAATATTACACCTTTCTATAAGGGAACTTGAACATCCATGGGTTTTGATATATGAGAGGATCCCGGAACCAATCCCGTGTGGTACTGAAGAGGACTATACTATCTATTGCTCCCTCCTTTTACAACACCCTTCCTCTTTGTCTTCTGCAGCATCTTGATTTTTCATCCTGTTTTTCTGGTCACTCCCTTCTTTCACAAGCTTTTGCAAGCTTCTCTAGGATTTCTCACAACTTGGTCCTTGGCCTTCTCCTCCACTCTATTCTCTCTTCCTAGACAATCTCACCCATAATCTCAGCTTACCACCTATTTGTCAAGACTAGACCTCAGTAACATTTGGTACTCAATATGTCTAATTTGAAATTCAAGATATTCCCCTGGGAATCTGCTTCTCTCTCAGTGTTGCTCATAACAGTAACCGAAACCATCATGTATTCAGTTGCCCAAGATGACCTTCTAAGCCTCATCCTTGACATCTTGAGCTCTTTTATCAACCTGTCCCAGGGAATATCTGACAAAGTTTGAAGACATTTTTTGGTTTTCACAACAGAAAGGGACGCTACTGTCACCTAGTAAGCAGAGCCAGAGATGCTGTAAGACACCCTCCTGTCCATAGGGCAGCCTCTGCTACATCAAATTATCAAGGGCAAAATGTCAATAGTGCCAATACGAGAAAATTCTGAAGTAAACAGTCTGTTCATAAAAAAGAGCTGGGTGAAAAAAAAGAAACTGATACAGAACATATCATGAAATTAATACCGTCTTTGCTTAAACCCAAAGATGTCTGATGATTTGAACCTAGATACCCTAAAGAATGGTGTTCCATCCATAGATGTAAAGCATGACAGTAAGAAGAGTAGATTTGAAAAGTCATAAATTTAGCCTCGGTATTTTGGGATTTGAGATGAAGGATGCATGATGCATGATCTGCCTTGAACTAAAGAAAAAAAAAAGGATAGCAATATACACACATAATTGAGGAAATCATTGAGATAGAGATAATTTATGGAAACCAAAAATATGGGTGATGTTGCTCTTCAAATAACTTCGTTCTACATTTCTTATATAAGTAAAAGACTGGAACTCCTTGAACATAGACAAAGAAACATCTGTTCCCCCCAAAATATAGAAGATAATGCCTTAGGAAGCATTTTTTTGTGCTTTGAAGCATTTACTCCAACACTCCAGAATCCCTCTGCAATATCCCTGAGTGACACACCTTATGTCTCTCTGGCCAATCAAACAACTATTGCTGGTAGAGAGGCCCCACTAATAAAGATGTTTTTACTCTGGGCTTCCAGGTCACATACAAAGGTGATGAAAGATCCACTGCCATCAGCTCCCATGCTTACTCTCACACTATTATCAGATGGTAGATTTAGCTAGCTTCGCTCTGACTCTAAATGCAGTGGTAGGATGGAAATGACACATGCATGCAGAGAATACTAGCCAAGACACAAGATGTTTGTGTGCATCTAATATATGCATGTAAATGTACACAGAGTAAACACCTTAGGTGTCCATGTGTTTCTGTCATCGATCCTACCCCTTTACCAGTCAACATCTATTAAAGATATGTGATTGCAAGACCACTTCTCCTTTGCTCTTCCTTTCACCGCTTCCTTACCTACTTGTTTCCTGGGAGCTGCAGCAGCACACAGGATATATGTAAAGCAATTGACTGAAATGTATGGTCTTCAAGAATCTGCTGGATTTAAAGGCAGACACTGTTTGTATACATACTATCTGTTCCCCCACCTTTCAATCTCTAGGGAGAAAGAAGACCACATTTTTTTAAGGTTCCTTTAGTCTGAGAAAGGGAACAGGTTTATAAACTCAGCTGAGTGAATGGAGAACCGTCGAAAATAACAGGTGGCAGCCTGACCAAGAGAAGCTTTTTATTTACTCGTGTCATCATCAGGTCAAAAACAGAGATAGAATCTACAGCTGCTCCCAGAAACCCACTCAGTCTAGAACTGCCTAGGGTAGCACATCGCAGGCCCTCAAGAAATTCTGGAAAATAGTAATTTACACCAAGGCAAATAAAGACTAGCCAAAAATGGGATCCAAGAAAATTACCCAGGTAATGACTAAACTCTAAGAATGTCTACTGTCCTAGAGACATAACTCATCAAAGTTCTTGTTGTTTAGATAGGAAATGGCAAGCCCAGGATAAAACTGCTGTGCTGATCTTTGAAATGCAAATATATTTTTATTTATACATTTTGATCAGAGAATACAATGACCTAGATTTCAGATTAAAATAGAGGATGTTCTTGTTAGATTACTGACTACAAGAGCCCTCAGATAACAAGACCTGCCAAGCATTGATATTTCCCAGACACAGGGAGCTTATGAGACAGAACAAAATATGTTTTCTTAAGACAAAACAGCATGAATCTAACAGGAATTAGTAGTGCTGTCAAAGAAAAATAATAGCATCAATGATATGTTTGAGTTGAAAGTGAGAAACTGCTTTTGTTCCTTTGAGTGATTCCAGTTGCTCAGCAAATTAGTGCCTCAGTTTAGCAACTGACATTCTAATGCATATATACAGTAAGTTTTAGGTGATGAACAGTGCCCTTTGGCCACTGAAAGTTGCAGTAGTTTCCAAAACTACTTCCTGCAATGCTAAGAAATTAATTTGACCTAAGTTATTAGAGGTGCACCTTTCCTGGAAAGGTACTCAAACAGCCATTACACCTGGCCTTAAAGTTAGGAAGTTAAAATTCCCAAGGAGGAGATTAAAAAGTCATATAGCAGATGTTAAAGTAAAAGGCCAAAGATTATGGAAAAAAAACCCTAAGAATTCCAAAAATTCAGCTGGGAACAGTGGCACATTCCTATAATCTCAGTACTAAGGGAGGGAAGTAGGAGGAAGTCCTTTTGGGGCCACTTAGCAAAATTCTCTCAAAATAAAAAGGCCTGGGATGTAGCTCAATAATAGAACATCTCTGGGTTTAACTCTTAGTGCTAAAAAAAAAATCTAAAATCATTGGCAACTACCAAAGAGGATCAAAGCTGAAATTCACCAGGGACGAAGACCCCAAGTTTCAGAAAGATGAAATTACTTAACTAATATTAGAGGCAGAACTTAGTCAATATCTTTTCATACTAAACCCCTCTCCCTCCATCAGCACTGGACAGCTTGCAGAAGCCACACCAGGCAAATTCTCAGGTTGATATCTAGCATAAAGAATTCTCAAAAACAAGCAGCCACTCTGTTCTCTGCTTGGTAGAAGGTATAGATTAGACAACAGGCAGCCTGACAAATGTTCATTTTCCCCTTAGTCTTCTCTAAAATGTAAGGAAGATTTGGGACAACAAAGAGACAACTTTGGCAATAAGCCAACAATAATTTAGATGGATCTAAGGTGGGGTGATAGAACAGCAAGACTGTGACTCCAAGACTGTCCCCTGCACCAGAGCTACATAGTACATAGGATGTATTGCCTCCTGAAATCACTTACCATCTATGGCTTAGTTAAATATAAGGACGGTGCCTTAATGATGAGAATCATACTTCAAGCAGGCTTATGTAAGTCCTTAATTTGGCTTGCATGTGGGTTATCCATTTATCAATCTAGTAAGCATTCATTAAGCACTAAACTTACTTAACACTAGTTTGAGAATAACAATATTAATAGTCCTTTCTGCTTGAGAAGCAAACATTTCTCCTTGAAGGAATTACTCATATGCACCTAACTTTTAGCAACAATTTAAAGACAATGTGGAAGCAATATGTGAGGTATTCTGTACAATAACAAAGAGGTTTCTAAGGAAAAAATTCTTACTAATGAGGTCCCTTCTTAACAGTGGGTATGTTTGTCAGAATGTGCTCAAACCTGGGCCAAAAGTTCAACATTGAGGAAAGTAAAGAAAATTATATCAAGTTCATTGTATGAGCATTTATTTGCAAAAACTAGTAAACTCAAGCTTAATAGTGAGATCTCAGAAGAATCTGACTCCCGCTATAGTTTCATAATGACACCACCCTCCACAGCCTCACACTGCTTCGGAGAAGACAAAATTATGACTGAGATAAACAGATCTAGTTTCTTCTAGGTTTGAGTATACTATTTCAGTAGCCAAGTTTCTCATGATTTTTGACCCTGAACCAAAGCTGAGCTGTTCATATTGTTTAGTTGTCTACCTTCCTAGGTTGCCTAAATTTTTATACCTTTGCATTCCTCTAAGTTGTTTATGTGCCATAATTATGTTTAAAGTGGGAAGAAGAAAGGTAACAATCTTTTGTACCATCACCCTAATTTGACCATTCAGTTTCTTATTATGTTTGGCCACCTACTCAGCGCCTTCTGGAAAGTGAACTCACATCAGGTTGTTACTTCAGATAAAATTGAACAGACTGAAAGAGAGCTTACTCAGTCCTGGCAGGGCAAATTAATAATAATCACATGTTAAACAGAAAAAAAAACACCCAGGCAAAATTTTTGATATGTTCAGATTGCATGTGCATTGGAAAAATTACATAAAAGCAGTGCTGTTTCTCTTACCCAATATAAATAAAAGGCCATTGTTACTACCACGCTATAAAAAGTCACGACTCCTCCAACCACTACCACTGTCCAAAAGGGCTTAGACTCAGAACACAGGCGAACACAAGGATGCGGATGGTGCCTCTCTGAAAAATAGAAGGGAGTGGATTAAATGCTAAGGGAAAGGCAGTTAAGTACATTTTCCTCCAGAACATTAGAGAACAATGGAAAAGAAATTAAAATATGCAAATTTTATTCATTTACTATGTATAGCCTTGTTCTTTGAGGTTTATCCATCCCTCCCACTGATAATGATCTTATAAGACCATTGCTTGGCCGGGGTGGGTACACCCCTGGAGTTGCATTCCCCTGACTTCATTGAACACATTGTGTTTAAAATGGAGACTTCTGAGTGCCTTAACCAGAAACCCATTCTCTTCCCTTATCAGAAGACCCTAAACTATATATTTGAAAGGAGTTAAATAATGTGCATGTTTTAAGCTTTAAGAAAATCATCCATGGCCAGGTGTGGTGGCTCATGCCTGTAATCCCAACACTCGGGAGGCTGAGGCAGGAGGATCACTGCGAGTTTGAGGCCAGCCTGGGCTACATAGTGAGTTCCTGCTCAGTCTCAACTACATAGTGAGACACTGTCTCAAAAAAAAAAAAAAAAAAAAAAAAAAAAAAA